AGAAAGAGATCTTGGAGTCATTATCGATTCTAAAATGAACATGGGCTGCCAATGTGAGGACACGGTCAGCAAAGCTAACTGCACCTTGTCATGCATCCACAGATGCACCACAAGCAGGGCCAAGGAGGTGATCCTCCCCCTTTATGCGACACTGGTCAGGCCACAGTTGGAGTACTGCATCCAGTTCTGGGTGCTGCACTTCAGGAGGGATGTGGCCAGCTCTGAGAGGGTCCAGAGGAGGGCCACTCACATGATCAGGGGCAGCAGGGCAGACCCTATGAGGAGAGTCTACAGGACCTGAACCTGTTCAACCTTCACAAGAGAAGACTGAGAGGGGCTCTAGTGGCCATCTATAAACTTACCAGGGAGGACCAGAGGGGAATGGGAGAGACCCTGTTCCCCTGAGCACCTCCCGGAGTAACAAGGAACAACAGCCACAAGTTGATTGAGAGTAGGTTCAGGCTAGACATTAGGAGGCGCTACTTCACAGTCAGGGTGGCCAGGATCTGGAACCAGCTTCTAAGGGAAGTGGTGCTGTCTCCTACCTTGGGGGTCTTTAAAAGGAGGCTTGATAATTACCTAGCAGGGGTCATATGAGCTTAAACTTCCCGTGGGTCATATAAGCCCAGTATTCATTCCTGCCCAGGGCAGAGGGTTGGACTTGATGATCTGCTCAGGTCCCTTCTGACCCTACAACTATGAACCTATGAACAGGGCTCTCATAATATAGTTCATATCTGGAGCCAACAAATATCTTCCAGAATCCCTGGCCAGTGTCTCGAGTTTTTGGGTTTTTGATTATTAACCCTTTACAGTCTTTTAGCCAGCAAGGTGCTCAAGAGTTCTCCTCGACACTCTCACTGTAGGGAGAGAGGACAAGCTTCCCCCCTCTCCCTTGATGGACTCTATGTCCAATGAAACTCTTCTTAGCTTCTTCTTTAATTAGTCCAGCCTGGCCACCTTCCATGGGCCACGGCTGGTTCCCATCAAACATCTAATTGGTACACAACTATGTTGTTTCTTGACCCATCCTTTGTTCCATTCACTTCTCTTTATTTTACATTTTCAGGGCCATGCTCATGCTCCTGGACAGGAGCTGGATGGCTGGCTCCCTTCCTATGCTCCCTCCAGGTCAGTGTCTCGCTCTATCAGTGGCTTGCCTGCAGCTACACATTGTCACTCACTTATTACACTTTAAATCCCCTTCTTCCAGGGGTAGTCTATACTCTCGGAGGGTATGGTATGGACTCCCAAGTCCCTCCCCCTTTCTACATGGGTGGCCACTTTTCTATCAGTCTGTAGTGGCAATCAGCATCTCTAAGGCCTCAGCATTCCCTTCCCAGCAGCAGCAGCAGCAGCAAAGGCAGTCCTCTAGACTTTTCAGCAATGATCATCCCACACTTCTGCCTGGGTTCCAGATATGGCTCCCAGTTTGCTCCTTTCCAGGGGACTCCTCTTCTTCTGCCTCCCACCATCCTTTTTCTCCTAGCAGTCTGGAACTCCTGGGGTCTTCTGGGATTCCGCTTCCCCCTTGCTGAACTGGGAGATGCTGGTTTAAAGGGCCCATGTCCGTGGTGGTGACTTTTTGCCACCAGACTTCCAGGTTGGGCTTGCCAGCAGAGGCAAGTGTAGTGGGGCCAGAACCCAGCTCCCTGCTATACGTTGATAGCCAAGAAGTAAATTTTGGAGCCAGGTGAGAAAACATTTATAATATGCTGCTGATATTGAAACTAGGCTCAATCTCTAAATTTGTCTTTAGTGGGACTATTTCTAATATTAAAAATCTCTGACCAGCTTCACATATCTACCATTTTAACAACTAACCTACAAACCCCACCAGAAATATTTCCCATATTTTTTACATTTGAAAAACAGGGAAAGGAAATATTCAGATTTAGATCAATTATTGGATCAAGGTTCCACTCTAAACAACACAGCCAGGTGGGTAACCAGACTTTATACAGTAGAAAACCATGTGTAACAGAATGTCTTGACTAGCCCTGTACAATTATCAGGCTCCAAAAGAAATTGGTCAGTTGTTTCCTAAAATGGGCTAAGAAAGAATCTGTAAGGAGACTGTTGGAGGAAGATAGCCTCCTGTGACAGACCCTTAAGTAAGGGGGAACAGGGAAGGATTTTCTGGGTATGAAAGGTGGGCGGGGAGATCATTGCATTTGCTGTTTTGCCCAAATTTTATTTAGGAATAAGTCTGAGCAAATAAGAGATTTGAATCCAATGAAGACCTTCTTGGGCTGGAGGAAGTAGGCCAGCCACCTTATGTGAATTCAAGTAGTTAGTACACCCAGAAATGCACTTTTTGGTGGGCATGCAACTATTTTTTTCTATCATTTATGACACTGAATATTCATGTGATAACTAGGGAATGAAATTGAAGCTGCCTAATTAACATATATTTTAACAAAGGAAAGGGTCTCTACAATCATTAATTGCTTCTCACAATCCCCTCTTCAATATGTATACAGTATGCTTATTTTACACACTAGTCAAGTGAGACCCAGAGGTGAAGTACTTGCCAAAGCCAAGCAGAAAATGAGAAGGACTGGAATTAAGGAGTCCTGAGTTCTAGATCCTCAGCCATATCCCTTGACTTAGACCCCCCACAAACAAACATTTATGTGTATTCTTAACAACATTGAATAGCTCAGCTGACTTAACTGAATCTACACAAGTGTGTAAATGGATGGGCAGGATGGGCTTGATAGCAAGGTTAGGGTCTTTTCTTATGCACCAAAGAGCACAAATTTAGTCACTCTAGGCATTTCATTAAATAATTTTCAAGCAATAATATGCTTAGAAGAACAGGAAGGAAGGATAAGTCAGCTTATAAGAATGGGATCAAGGATTCAATCCTGAGCTAGCATACATTATGTTTGCAATGTGTGTTGATATTATTAGATGGAAGGAGATCACAGAAGAACAGATTATTATTGCTACTACTCAACTATGTGGGCCTAATGCATTTACCTGCAGGACTATGTCCCTTTCATTCCGTGTGATGTTAACACTGTGTGGCTGTCCATTTGCCATGCTTCTGTGGTCTACATCAATATTATATGGCTCTCTTGTACCTCCCAGGTTGTATCGAATCTGTAGGTTACCTGTTGAAAGAAACATGTCCAAATTGTAGTTATTTTTACCTTTATGCACTGGCACTTCTTGTTTTTATATTCATTTTCACATACGATGACTAACATCCATTAAAATTTAAAGCTGTCTGTCTACAGACATGCAGTGAGGCTGCTCCAACACAATGCAATTACAACGTGTCAGGGCAGACTTGATTTATCGAGGTTGTTGGAGCCTGGTAATTACCGTGGTCCAGCAGAGTCCGGTGGCTCAAGTATCAGCATCCCTGTGCTGAAAAATGGCAGTAGAGATGCTTTAACTAGAGTTCATTTGATGAACTTTAGTTAAAGTGCCTCGTTACCATTTTTAAGCATAGGGCCGCTGATACACATGACACTCCAGGCACTTTAATTAGGGTGACTCCAAGAGATACTCTAGAGTCACTCTAATTAAAGTGCACCCCTCCCCACTCCTGGGTTTATAGCATGTCTATAAACACCCTAGATAACTCATGGAGTTGAGCTCTGTTGCAGGAGAATTTAAAGAAGCAATTCCAGTGCTGGAGAATTTAAAGTTACAGGCCTGTGAATCATTTACAAAATGCAAGTGCCAGTTTACAAAGTATAACACAAACCAGCATCCAACAAAACAAAAAAAACCTGAACCCCCCCAGAGCAGTTGTAAACAATTCAACTAAAAAAATCCAACCAAACGAGTCAGAGTTATTCCTGGAACGTTATGAAAAAGAGCTGTAAATGTTAGCTCACAAAGCATGCACATACTGTTGAGATTCATTCTTGCCTCAATAAAATTCATTCAGGTTAAAGAACAGCATAGGGAATAAGGTTTATATGGCATGGGGAATAAGGTTTCTATGAATAAAAGACTTATACTTTTGCAATAAAACCTGAATTACAACAGATTAGTGTTGATATTATATATAAACACTAGAGATTTTCTTATGATCCTAATTAGTTGTTTACTGGTGATAAGACTATAACCTGAGATGTTTCCAAGGACTTTAGAAACATGTAGAAAAAGAAAGATTTAACAAATGGGTACCTCAAGGTAGATTGGTAAGAGCTGGTCAAAAAATTTTCAGTGAAACTATTTTTGATGAATAACTGGATTTTTTCCCCTAAACAACAGGTGATTATATAAAGTTCTTCTTTCTCACAGAAAAGGTCAATAGTCTTTTGAATATTGTTTTCAGGTTTTGGCCCCAAACTGAAATATTCTGAGTAAAAGTAGCACTGCTGTACCTTTCTGCAGATATAGTTTGGGCAGCTTCTGCTCCCATTATGGGCTTTCTAGCCATATTACTTCTTCCACGATTCACCAGGGCCAGGATGCTACATCCTTCTAGTCACTAAATAAGTTTAGTGAAAATGTTCAGCCTACTTGAAGAGAATGGGAATCTAAAGTATCTGAAGTCCCATCAGGTACCATTTTGAATTAACATTTTGGGGGTTTGATATATTTCAACAAAAAAGATTCCAGAACTCCAGTTTTTCTGATCAGGTCTCCTACTAAACTGGTATTTTAAGCATGAACATAGATGAACTGATTTTCAGAAGTGTTAAGCAAACAGCCATTTCCATTAAAAATGCTTCCAGCTGATGATGCTAGAAGCTTAACAATCTGGACAATTAGGCAACATATTTAGGTGCCTAATGATGACGTTACACATTATGCTTAGAACATGCTAAATCCATGAATTGTTAAGCAGTGTTAAAGTTAGAACATGCTGTGAGCAGTCACACATTAAGGGTGTAGCAGCGTTTTAAAAATGGACCCAACTGAAAGAATGGGAAGGGCTGCCCAGCAGACAGACAGAGTTTGTCCCAGCAGGGACACTGTAGCCTCTGAGCGCAAGTGAAGCTGTTTTGGAGGCAGCCCTGTTGGAAGTGGGAGGGGTGACGTAACCCCAGCAAAGTTTTGAAATAGAGCCGTTAGCAAAAGCCAGGGAAGGGCTCTGGGCTGGGATTGGCTGAGAGGCTTGGATAAAAGTGGGGAGTAATTTTCCCATGGAGAGAGAACAAGAGAGAGAGAGTGGGGCTAAGGGACAGGCTGGAGACGGGAGACAGAGTCTCAACACAGTGGTCCCTCAGAGAGCCCCTAGGAGTGCCCTGTGGAGCAGCAGAAAAGGCTGCCACAGGATGAGATACAGTATCCAGTTCCTCTCTCCGGCCCAGGAGCCTGTGGAGGCAGGATCAGAGAGGGGCTGATCGTGTGGTGACTCCAAGCCAGGAAAGACCCGCCTGCAGCCTGGTGACCGGCTGGGTGAGGACAGCAGAGCCGGGCGAAGGAGGGGAACTGCGGGAGTCTGCCTTGTTTTCCCTGATGGGTGAGGGGCTCCAGGGGCAGGCAAAGCCCAGGGAGGGGCTGTGTTTGCTGGGCTGTGAGGCTGTGCGGGACAGGAGAGTTGCTACAGCCTGCAGCTCAGACACTGCTCCCTGCTGAGCTGGGGAAGGGGGTCAAAAGCAGGGGAAGGCTGTCTTGCAGGGGCTGCAGAGGAGGAGCCGCTGCCTGATGCCCAGAGATCCTTGCTTCCCGGAGACCCCAGGAGCACGGAGACGGACACCAGCACTAGGGATCGTCCACAGACCATGTGGACACAGACAGGGACACAGACAGTTCCGCTCCCTGAGACACCCCGCCAGGGGCACTGCACATAGGATCCCCAGTACACCGTGTGCAAGTGAGAGACTGTGTAAATAAGTTCTTGAGGGTTTATTAGTGGGTATATCAATGTGTTTATTTAATGGTTATTTATTATGTTGTAAATAATTAAATCTTGTAAATATTTTGAGAATTGCTGCAAGGGTGCTTGATTGTAAGGGGCGGCTCTCTGCTCGGGGGCACTGCAGCAGCTTCCCATGGGGGCTGGCCAGGGCTACTGGCTACTGGGTACCCCAGGATCCCACTATTCAGGTGAGGGCGCGTGTAGTGTCGCACCTAGGGTTACAAGGGTTAATACTGTTTCTTGCCTCAACAGCTCATATGCGCCACTAGGGCTGAGTACAGACAGTGAAAAAGCCCAAGGCTGAATTAATTCAGTCTTTGCGGGTTAGTCTAAGCTGCAGAGATTGGGCCAATAAGCAAGTGAGCAGACATTCACTTCTGTTTCAGGAAATGCAGCCACATGCAAGCCAGAAGCTGGGGGCCCTAGACCATAGCTCTCTGGCATGTAGCCAGCATGGGCTGTTTGTTTGCTTCCTCTTCTTGCTGCCCCTGAGGTCCCTGGGATTTGCAGTCCAGACTCACAATAGCAGGACTCTGCAGGGTTGCTCATCACTTCCTCTTCCTGTTTCCAGGTGCCTCTGGGATTTGTAGTCCACAGTCACAGCTAGCACTAAGTAAGCAGGGCAGGGAAGCTCTGTACTTGGGGGCAGAGAAGTTTAACCTCTGCCTCCATGGCACCAGACCCCAGCAGGGGTTTGCCTGGGGCAGGGCAGTGAGCCAGTCCTCACTGCTTCAGGTAAGGAGCAGAGGGGTGGGACCAGCCATGCTCTCAGGAGCAGACAGCACAGCCCAGCCCAGCCCAGCCCAGGGCTCCAAATGCTGGGATGCTGAGGGATTCTGATTTAACTTGAACCAGGAAGGGGTCTGGGCCAGAGGTTTCATAAACTGGTTTGACATGCATCAGTTAAATCTGATACTACATTCAACCAAGTTTATTTTAAACCAGCTTCAGCCATTTTGAAACTGGTTTATGTGCACTGAATTTCAATTCTGTTATAGGTTTAAACCAGTTTCTGATCACTTAAACCAGCTTATGTGTAACTTCTGTCCCTAACCTCGAGGGCTGGCAAGCAGGGGCATGGCTAGGAGCCACGATACCTGGGCTCTATCTTTGCTCTGTTTGGGGTGGGGGGAGGGGCTAGGAGTGGTGAATTCTAGGATGCTGGTGGACAGCTAAACGTTTGTTTTATCTCTATGGACCAGACTGAAGTTAGTCTTAATTTGAGCTGGGTGTTATGGCTCAGAGTTAATTCTGAGACACTTTGAAGGCTCTTAGCATGAGTTAATGAGCTTTAACATACAGATGCTCATGGTTTAAATAGCTATGGTCTAGGTGGAACGTGTAACTTCACCCTAACTGTCAGTTTAGGAGCCTGACTTTAGGAAAACCTAGCTTGAAAATCTTGACGATATTGTTCTAATCCAATATTTCAATTTAATCTTTTGTTTGAAAGTATTAATAAGTACTGATTAGTTAATTTGTAAAGAAGGAAATACAATAATACGTATGCCCCCAAGGCTGAAATTTGCAACAGGAGCAAACTCATGTGCCAAGTGCTTGCAGGCTTACAGCTTCATCTTTCGCTGCATTCATTTGCAATATATAACAGACTAATTTTTGTTTAAAGGGAAGAGAAGTAAACAACAGCAGAGAGCATCAGAAAGCTATAAACATATAAGCAATTCACCACCACAAATTGCCTCTATGAGATGGATGTTATCATCATGCTTCTTGTAAGGAACATGATGCACATGAAATTTAGGGACCTGCCCAAAGTCACTAACCAAATCAGAGCCAGAGCCAGGTACAGAATCCAAAAACTCTGGCTTCTACATAAATGCTGTAACCACAAGCTTCTCTTTAATTATGTTTCTATAATGTAGTATTTTTAGGTATTTCTATTTGTGGCTATCGGTTCAAATTTTATTTTCATTAAGTGCAGTGGGAGTTGGACCAGACCTGTTAAGGAAACTGATGATGACAAGTGAAGGGGAGAGAAAAACATGTTGTGCACAACACATTTTGATCTAACATCAGGACTTTAAAGACCTCTTCCTTATCTTGGGATATCACCTCTGTAGTTCAAATTTGCTTTGGTTTTTCTTACCAGTCTAGTCTATGGGCTGGACTTTCTATTTTGCTACACCAAGTTTTGCTGGTGTAAAGAACTGGGCCTTGTACATACTTTGCAATTGTAAGGATGAAGGGATATTCTTATTAGCTTATGGCTTTGCTGGTCATGTGCTATATTGTATATATTTCTCCCTTCAGTGGTGAAAAACCAGAACAACTACTTACCAGATGGCTTGACAAGCACTGCCATGTAGTCCAGGCTGTAAGAACTGATGTACAGGAGGACACAGGGGGATTTTGTGGTACTGAAGCTGAAACTTAGCTCCTCTGCATTCAAACTGATGTCTGGCACAGTAGCCTCAGTGTCTGTAGAGCTCAATAGAGTTCGACTGGCTAAGTCTTTTGCAGTGGTCCCTGGGGATGGAAAACTGTACCTGAGCCACATCCCCTCTTCAAAAAATGCTCCAACATCTTGAAAAAAAAATGATAGAGAGAAGGGAAAAAGACAAGCAATTTTCTGAGATAAGCCTTGAAAAACAGCACCAATAAATAGGAATATTAATAGAATTATTATCAAATTGAATCAGTACCTATTTATATACCTGTCAAGTTATTTACTCACCTCCAACAATACACTTTGCAAGCACTAACATTTTTTTCTTGGAGAAGACTTCTGCATTTTAAAGATGGGTAAGTGAATGTACAGACAGGCAAAGTTATTCATTCAAGATCACACACAGAACACCAGTAGTAGAACTAGGCATTGACCCTATTGTCCCATGCCTCAGATTATGATCTGTGAGCAGAAGACTATCTTTCCATTTGTGCCCATGAAATCCTTATGATTCATAATGTTTAGAAAGGGCAGACAAAAGGTCAAGACATTAAATAAATGCTACATGCAAATAAGGGAAAGAATAAGGAGCCAGAACAAAATTTGAATGGAGAGTTGGAAAATTTTGTGGTTCTGTGAAATAGGGAGATCAAAGAATCTCAAGCACTTCAGTATTAAAATAGATTTGCATTGAACCCTGGAAAACTATTTACTTCTGGACCAATTCTACATTTGAACAGCTAATGGGGCTTTACCATTATTAACTGCTGTGAAACGTTTCGTGAGGGAAGCACAGTGGAAGGGGATGGAAGGAAACTCTTTTACTTGTGCAACTGAGCGCAGGCAGGCATAATGGGAATGTTTGTGGAGCTGAATATTGCCACAGGTGATCAGTATTCCAAATAGATATGAGTTGGTTGGAAGGGCATACAGTTAGGATCTGTTAAAATCCAGAGATTCAACATTAGTTGAAGTGTGCACAGTACTTTTTTCTACATGTTTTCCTCTTGTTTGTGCCTTGGACACATGCTTGTGCCCTTTGAGAGCAAAATACCTCTTCCCTTGGGCACTATACTTTCACACTCTTCTCAGTCAGGCTTTGGTTCTGAAAGCCAGAATTTAGTCCCATGACCTATTGTTATTTGATAAGTGACACACACATCAATAAAATCTAAAAGATCAAAGATTATTATATCAATTAATTTTAGAGGCAGGCGTTTGTGAAAGTTCATTTTCAGAAGAAAATGTTGTCTCTGGCCTATTTTAACTAGTAGCATAGCAAATTTAAAAACTACAATTTTAAAAATACAAGAGAGCAATTTAACATTTAACTGTCCGAACAGAAAGAGTAGATAAAGATAGATCAGGCATAAAAACTGCTAAACCGATTTAAGCTGCCTACCTGAAAGAAAATATAGAACAAAGAAAGAACAGAAGAGGAAGCTTGAACCCTTCTTCTTCTCTAAACATTTAAGTGAAAAATATAAATCCACCGACCTTATGTTAACAATGAAATAACTCGTTCAACTAGAAATAACACTGTGACTTTCTTGTATCTATTACATTCCCAATAACCATCCTCAAATATTTGCCCCTAAGGAAAGACAGTACTTCCAAGAATCACATCAGTTCCTGGAAAACTGTTTTTTAGAATCATAGAAAACTAGACCTGGAAGGGACCTCTAGAGATCATCTAGTCCAACCTCTTGTGAGAGGCCGGATCATCCCTTTCCAAAGCATCCTATACAAATCCTTGTTTAACTTACTACTAAAATGACGTAATCAACCCTGTCCCACAGCTACAAAGCACAGGACCCTAACCTTCACAGGTGAAGTAGGTGGTTAATGGTGGTCAATGTCCTGCTCACTGCAGAGGTTGTTAAAATACACTTTAAAGATCCCAGGAAGAGGGCTACACACCCCCCACTACAGGAAAGCAAAAATCCCCACATTCTGTACCTATATGATCATGGGTAAAATTCCTTCTGGACCCCAAATGTATTGATCGGTTAAATGCAAAAATTCGTATAATGGATCTGACACCATTCTCTGAAAAGAGGTTTCTCACTTCATGAGCAATTCCATTGAGAAGTTGCTGTTATATATGATTATAGGCGTCAAAATATGGCTTTATGGTAATAATTAAAGATGATGCATGAAATTCAGATTTTTCAACATTTGGGATGAACAGTCAAAATAGCAAAACCTTTAATGGAATTACATCATTTGGTTCAGAAAAATCTCAGAACAGGTCTCATTTCAGAACAGCCTGATGTACACTCAAGCTGTTGTCATGTCTTATGAAAGACATAGTTCAGGTGTTACATTCTTTTCCAAGAGAGGGCTTCCTAGTTATATTTATCTCTCACTATAGTATTTCCCTTTGGCTGAGTTTCTGCAATGCTAAGACTACAGGGCATCCAGAAGATATAAACTGGTCATGGATCCTGGTTCTTAGAAGAGAAAGAAGCCATGGGGCAGAGGAACTACAGCCCCCATGGGGACACCATGACATCCCAGGCAGATGAAGAGATTAATGTCAAACCAACCTGAAATGGAACAGTTTTTTCAGTATTCCTTATGGAAAATAAAAACATCACTGGCAAAAAAGATATTGCCTTGTATTTTCTATTAAAACAACATTTTGAAGAAAATTCTCCACAGCTCTAAAAATATAGTCCCATCTATTTTGTACATTAAACATATAAGCTAAGAGGAATGTTACTTTAATATATAGTGAAACTTGACTTCAGCCATTGCTTGAGGGATTGACAAAGAACAACTGCCTACCAAAGGCAAAGCATCATAACTATATAAAGTACATATATGGTAATAATTTGGGATGGTTTCTTAAAAAACTTTTCATGTGTAAGATTCACTATACAGTAAGAAATGGTTTATGACTTATTGTAATTTTAATTAATACTAATATAGGCAATGCTTTATATTAATGACAAATAACTAATTTTTAAGGGTTTAAGAAATTATTAAAAGTTCTTATATGTTACAGAAATGTTTTGAAGCTGGACTCTACAACCAACTGTAACAATTGACTAGTCATTTATTAAACACTAATTATCATTTGCCCATCTTTCATTAGTAACTCTGCTTATAAAGTGGGACTGATTACTGTCTAACTGCATAAATGTCAATATTTTGTCATATGTACAGGGAACTTTCATTTTATATAGTTCCTCCACATTCTGGAGTATTTTGATTTATTTTACAGAATTATGAGTGAATATGTACATCCTAACTGATGTGCAGCTAAATGATGATTTAATTAGATATGTAATAACGAAAGTCCTGTACTGGAGGACAGAAGCCCTCACGTTTCATCTAAGGAAGGTTAGTTGAAGAAACAGTAAGAAGGATAACATTAGCAAATATTTTATCGATGCCCCCTTTCAATATTTTGCTAACTCTAGTGCTAGAAAACTTTATGGTTTTCTGTTCCCTTATAACAATTTTCCTAGACATGAAATGTCATATTTGGAAGTGTCACTGTGTAACCGCATAAAAAAACACTCAAGCTGTGGTCTCACAGGCTTATAAATAATTGAGAGCCACTGTGATAGATTTATAGCTGTTATCTCATAGGAGAAACCTTAAATCATTTCCAAATAGTTATGGGAAATGCAATTCAGTTTAACAGCTTTATTCTTCACTAGACCCAATTTCAGTACTCTTGGATTAATAATTAAGGACCCTATCTTGCAAACACTTACCACCATGCAAAGTGCTTCCTACAATGAATAGTAACATTGAAAATAGTGAGAATGCTTTTTGCATTAAACGATAGCTTACATCTGCAGGACTTGCCTCAAAACGATCTTATTTAAATGTTATTAACTATATGATGATTCCATAATACACTCTTATCTACAATTTCTGATGCAGCATATTCTTTTTTTCTAAACTGTACTTATCTATAAGATGGCTTTAAAATTCCAGTGGGTGATCAAGAAAGAAATTACCTACTTGGAGGTCACCAAATTCCAATCTCCTTGAAGCTTTGTAATAGGCAGCATCTAAATTAAGAAAAGCATTTAAGCGAGCGTTTAAGACTGACTAACTGACTGAATGGATAGTCTCCTACAAGGAAGTCTTCCTGAATCAGAGCCTAAAAGGGAAAAAAAATATTCTTTCTTCCTCTGGAAAAATGGTGACAAGATTCAAATGAAGTATGTGCCCTGTTGCTATAATGCAGAGATTTCCATGCACCTACAGTTACCTTCTTTTGGAACGCTTTAGATGAGACACCTAAAAAAGAAAAAAAACTAAGGGCCTTGTTACACCTTATGTTGTAAGCTGCACAAATGTTGAGCGGTATTAGTGATTGCTTGGAGTTTGGAGCAGTCACCCCTTTAGTTTAGAAAACTTCTCTGACTGTCCCCTAAGGCACAGCTGTGACTTGCCACTAGATGCCTTGTGCATAGGCAGAGAACTAGGAGCTAGAGCTGTGAGTTGCCCCTAGAGGGCTGGTGAGCCAGGACAGGCTTCTATTCCAGCTCTATGGGCGGGGATGTGATAGAACCTGGGATACTGGAGGACCAATGGCAAATCTGTGGGGGTGGCCACATTTTAATGGAACAGGAGCTGGGTTGTGTGGATCAGAGATAATTCTGCCATGGAGTGGCATAACTTTGTGCCCCATAACAAGAATTTAAAACCACTTCAAGGTGTAAATGTATGGACGGTCCAGGGGTTAAGAGCTCCAGGAACCACCCAAAAGTACCATGTAACAATACCCTAAGGAATCAGAAATAGAAAAGGGTTCCTGCTGTTACTGCCCTTTCAAGACAAAAGCTGCAGGGAAACAAATGTGGCAGGAACAGATCAGTTTTCTTTGAATAGCAGTACATATATCTAAACCAACATGCAGTGCAGTCATGCTCTATTGACAGTCTTTGCAAAACGTAAATAAAAGAAGTTTAGACTAGCTGTCTGGAGAAGCACAAGATAGGATTTGTGAAGGCAGCAGAAACAATTTTATCAAGCAAGAAGAGTATTCCCGATATGAGCTGTACACATTTCCTGTATATATTCTTCTTACTTTTACAAGGGGATGAAGGAAAAACAGATGCGAACCTCAATCTAAAACAAACAGATCTAAAACTGATAAACGTAGTTTGAT